GGTTCAACATCGCGGGTGGTTGGTGCTTCGAGTTGCTCTCTCACGCGGCTCGTCGGCCGTGGGGAGCTGCTCTTGCAAGCGAGCTCGGCGACCACGCAGAGCAGCAATTACGGCGGAGGAGGCGAAGTGAGGCGGGAGCCGTTCTAGGCGGGCGGTGTCGAAGGAAGGAGGCGGTTCATCGGCGTGAAGGTAAACCCTGCTCGGATCTCTCCATTGGTGGTGGTGGAGTTTTTACTTGGTTCGTCCTGCGCTGGCTAGGGCTCGCAGCGGTGCTCGTTTGTCGACCTGGTCAGCTTTTTCACGTGTGCTAGTCCCTGCCACTTTACCAGGTTTTGGGCAGCCTCGGTGGTTAGGTTAGGTACTTGGTATGAATTCTAAATCTTCATGGACGTATATTCGGTCCCGCGTCTGGTTCGTGTGATTTCGTGGTCGAAATAGGCTTGGAGGCTACCGCACTTGGGACGCAAGGGAGCAGAGGGGTTGGCAAGGTGCGTGTAGATACTGATTCAGCCTATCGAGAGAAGATCCATCATAGCCAAACTGGAGATCAAAGCCACTGTGGCTGACTGTATAGAGATAGGTAGCCGATCCACCACGGTAAGCGCCGACACATGACAGAACAGGAGATTAGGGCAGATGACTCGGTCGGGATAAGGACGTGCAGGCGACGGAATCGGAGGAAACAGACCCTAAACGTGAGTCAGGAGAATTGATATCGTGTCTACTCTTGCATCTGTGGACACTCTCTTATTTGTTTAGACTAAACTTTTTAACTTTTCAACATGTGGTATAACTAGTACAATTATATGTAATAATGGTACAACTAAGTATTAAGATACAATGTATTATATATATATATATATATATATATATTTAATATTGGGTTTGTAAATAAAATTTAACTAAATTTGAATCATATATCACATGAGTTTGACTGAGTTATTTCCTACTCGATGCATCACTATTTTTTTGGTTTAACCAACTTTTTTATATCAGAGAACCATAGAAAAGAAAAGAAAATGGCATGTATCTTCCATGCTTAACTTGTGTAGATCGGAGAACAGTAGAAAAAATATATTGTATATCATCAATGACTAACTTGCGCCACTTAGATGGATTAAAACCTTATGTTGGCATCCATGTCTATTATAATTTCATGAAATATCATAATATATAGAGATATAAAGTTGACCGAGGATTCCAGAATGCATGCTTGTATATTTTGGGTGCTGGTAAATAAAAGGATTAGTTATGTACATATATACTATATAGGAAAATTTTAAATATGATTAATATCCATGACTGGTTTGCACCGGCACATGCTTGTTGTATATTTTTGAGTTTGTGTGCAGTGTCAATCCTGAAAGTATCTGCCACAGTTAGCCTGAAAGTTTATGCATGCTTACAAACGGGGCCATTCCACTAAGCTCGTGATTCTTTCTTCATCTCAACTGGAGTAAACACCACACAAACACGCAGGAGAAAGTCCACAGAGGCCTATTCGAGCCATCCCTTGCCGCCCGTGTCACCGGTAAGACCACTCGTGAAAACTCAAGATCATCCACAACGTCTCAAGTTGAAAAACTCGTACGAGCTAGCACACATGAATCAATCATGCCGCTTGCCGTCCATGTCATTAGACAGAGCGCTCACGTATCGTCATGATCGCACACATACTATGTCGAGCTGATCCCAAGAGAATCATGCATGAATCACAAGACGTTCACAGGATAATCTAAAATAGATCATTCCGGCCGAGAAAGGTCGCGTTATAAGATGACAGAGGTGAACCAGGGGTACGTACACGGTCCACCTAACCCGGCCGCATGCTGCAGTGTCGCATTCACCAGACCGATCGACGAAGTGCGTTCAGTGTGGAGATTGTTGAAAAGAAACGAGAGAGAGGGAGACAAAGAGGTAAAAGTGGATAGTTGTCTTCATTAATGATGAGATTACACACACACACACACACACACACACACACACATAGTGGCAATGAGGCAATGGTCTCGGTTAGGAAAAGTAGGGATTAATAGGATTAATTAAATCCTAACACTCCCCTTAATCCATACTTGTTAGTGTAAGTATCATCATCTTGAAAAAGCTCCTCCAAAAACCCTGTGAGAAAAATATGAGGAGATAGGTGTTTAATATTTTGCTAAAACTCCTTCAAACCCAGTGGAAAAATAAGACAAAAATGATGCAACACATAATGGTAATTGTCTTTTTTAACTCAATACGAGAAAAATCATAGAGTTTAGAGGACAATAAATATGTCACATATACTTTCTTAAAAAAAACCCATGAGGAAAACAGAAAACATGACATATGGTCTTGTGTTGATATTACCTCATTAAAAACTTTTATGAGAAACTATAAAGTAAACTCATGAAGAAAAAAAGAGTATAATATGATGCTTTTAACAGGAACAATTCAGGAACATACTCCTCCCGATTCTTGCATATTCAGAAGTCATCATATACCAATTTCATGAACACATTTCTGGAACATAGAAGTTGGTAGAGACTTGGTGAACACATTTCTGGGTCTAGTAGTGTCTTCTTTTTTTTTGTAAAATATTTGATGAACTCACCGAAGTTTGTTTAAATTTGCGCCTTGTTTGTGCGAATGTGGGGCCGGATTTTGTTTTTAAAAAAAAAACAAAATGCGGCGTGGGGGCGGTGACTGGGGAGCATCACGCCCCCAACACGCGGTTTAGCGCCGGTACACCCCCAGGCAGCGATTTTTAGCGCCTTCTGGGGGGCCAACGGCTGGAGATGCTCTAACAACAGGAGATTGTGGAAGAGCACTGAGCCGCGTTTGGCAAGATTGGTGGCCGCTTGAGGAGGATGTGAGAAAATTATTACTGGTATGCATATATGGACCAGAAGATGCAATTGCGGATTGAATTCCGGTTTAAAAAAAGGATCGATTTCCTAAATGCAGATGGGTATATGAGAGTTTATATCACAGTGTACATGTTCTACTTTGATGGAGTTTCCTTGCACGTCACTATGTGTTGATAGATTTCACATATCAATAGTCAATGGATAGCCGTGAGGGTTTTCTTTACACATTGGATTAACAGGATCAATTACGAAGATCTAATGGTTGTAATTGCAAGTTCAATAAAGGTCCACTAATCTGATGGTCAGATGTTTCTGATTTTGGGTATATGAGAATTTTCATCATGGCATACATGTTTATTTGTCCGAAGTTTCCTTGCACATCACATGTATGTGTTGATAGATTGCACGTATATATGTATAATCAATGGATTGCCGTGAGAATTTTGTTTACAGATCAGATTAAGTGGATATATTACGAAGACCTAACGGTTGTGACAGCAAGTTAAATAAAGGTCCATGAAACTAATGGATAGGCGTTTCTGATTTTTTGTGGGATCTTTTTTTGGGTTAGCCCGTAATTTACTTTTAATATATAATACCCCTCTGTTTTTAAATATAAGTTCTTTTAATATATAATACCCCCTCTGCTACATACTGATGTATATAGACATATTTTGGAATGCAGATTCACTTATTTTGCTTCGTATGTAGTCCATATTGGAATATGTAAAAAGACTTATGTTTAGGAAGGGAGGGATACTAGAGGCTAACGTGTACTTCGTCACGCCATTCTTCGCGAGTGAAATTAACTATTTTATATCTACATATTATTACAATCAGTTGTTTTTTTATTTTTTCTGTGTTGGCTTTTGTGTTTTAATTTTTTTATCGGTGGTGTTTTTTATTCGAATATCGTGTTGGGTTGTTGTTGCGGTATTTTTATCCAAGAAGAAAGATGAGTTACTTAATGCGTGGTTGTGAAATTTTTGCACGTTTCGGCCTTGGTGTGGTGATTGCTTGCTCCTTTTTCACGCTAAAGCCATGAAATTGCTATATAATACTCGGATGGGCCAGTTGCTTGCTCAGTTGGCTTCCTGGTCCTCTTGATCGTTTAGCTCTTTCTTGCTCGCCACACTGCTAGCCCAAAAACAAAAACGACCTATCTTTTTTATTTCAAAATGTTACTTAAATGAAATGATGTTTAAGGAACTTTAAAATTATTATGAATTTTAAAATCATGAATTTTAGAAAACAATCATGAATGTTAAATATATTCATGGATACAAAAAATTGCTCGCAAATTTAAAGTTTTCTAATTTTAAAAATGTTCAAAAACTTTAAATGATTGTGAATTTAACAATATCCACAATTTAATCAATGCTAATGAACCTGAAAAAAGGTGAATTTTAAAATATGTTTATGCTTTTCAAGTACACAAATTTAAATAAACGCTCATGTAATAAAAGATGAAAAATAAGAAGAAATGAAACTAAACACCACACACGTGCGCGTGGGGTCCTCAGCAACCCCCACAACCGTCGAAGTACCAGAACGCTTCAATTCAAGGGAGCTTAGTATCTTCAATTCAAGGGAGCCAAGGTTGGTATCTCTATAAATAGATTTGTGATCGTCTCTCTTTGGTGTTGTTTGGATTTAGTGGTTGCTTGGTTTACCTGTCTGGAGCAATTCAATGCTAGATATAATGAAATAATTGGACAACAAAACTTGAAATTAGAAATAAATGATTTTCAGATGGTATGGTATGTTTATAAATAGATAAACTTTAATGCTTCATAAAAATAGACACATTCAAAAAAGTAATATATTAAACACTTTGTATTAGCAAGTGCACAACTCAAGCACAATATGCTATTTATACCGGGTCTCCTATGGAGGCCACAGTGCGTATCCGATTTTTGAACCACAATCCAGTGAAGCCATCCCTGCATGGCAAGTCCTGTGCACTGTAGTTTCCCAGACCGACGGAGTGCCGCAGGGCTGTTTAAGGGAAGTGATTGAGATTTCCGACGAGATGAGTCGATACATATCTCAATTGTTCATTCATCAATAATATACCTGACGGAAAGGCCGGCTGATGGAACATCCATCAGTCGACAGATCGTATCTAGCTAGTACCAGTTACTGTATCATCTATATGTTGGCCATGATGATGGTGCTGAGGTCCCCGACCTTGGCGCCGACGACCCTGCCCTTCTCCATGCCTTGCTTGAGCAGCAGGAACGTCGGCAGCGCCTCCACTCGGTACCGCTCCACGATATCCTGTGAAAGTGGTATCGCAGTGAGTTACATATGCATAGTTTGGTTATCCGATCTGAAATTAGTTACACCCTCTGTAAGGAAATATATTAACACTCTTATATTTCTTTAGGGCACGTTGTCCTACTTTGAACTTGTCGACGTCCACCTGGCAGAATATGGCGGCCCTTCTCTTAGCCACGGCCATGGCCCTAAAGGGTCTCATCATCACCCTGCATGGCTCGTTCCAGCTCGCCCAGAACATGAGCACCACCTGTATTTCAAACAAATCAGAGCTCCAGAAATTCATTAAATCCAAAGGGAAACACAACGGTTAAAATGATTGCGTACGTACCGGATAGGTTTGCGCTAGAGGGTGCGCCAGGGCGGACTCTAGCTCTTGAGAACTTGTGATGATGTAATAGCTCCAGTAATAGCCTCTGCGGGGCGGCTTAAACACTGCACAACACAACAGTTAAAATTACCGCGGGACAAATATTCCGTCGGCAAGCTGGCCATCATCCCCAAGCATAGGAAAGTAGCCATACGTACGTACCATCGACATTGGTGGTCAATGACATGATGCCGCCTTTGCTCCCACGGCGTGGTCGATGCCAATATATAGACGGTTGTACGTAGCTTAGGCATCAAGCTGGTAGGGTATGCGTATGATATGAGAGCGACATTTCAGTGTTTGGATGGGACGGAATAGATGCTGGCCGGCCAGTCACGGCGATTAAAGTAAAGTTCAATTTTTTTTTTGAGAACCGATTAAAGTAAAGTTGAGATGGATGTTCACCTACATGTTCACACATGCAATCACGGTGCGCCTGTCTCTCCTTCCTTGGTATTCTCACTACTACAGCCTAAAGCAGCTCGTCGCTATTATTTAGCCTCTTTAGTAGCTATACTCCCTCTATAAATAGTGATCTAAATGCTCTTATATTTCTTTACGGAGGGAGTAGTTAGTAGGGAGAACTGAGGCGTCTAGTTTCCCTGAATGGAAATTTGAAGGGGAGAAGCCCTTCTTTGTTTCAAAAAAATAATAATCTTACAAATAAAATAAATAAATAAATAAGGCGTTATACTTCAATAAACGTCAGAATCCTATTATCAAACCTAGTTAGCTAGACGCTCATTTGCAACACGTTGATTTTTCATTTGATCCTTCATAAGCTCGGATGCAAATTTGAACTTGGCTAGATCAGTAACCAAAGTCGGCGAATATTTGGCAAGGGGTCGGCATCGTAAAAGAGAGCCAAATGAAACTTAGCGCCGTGAAAAGAGGATCAAAGAGTCACCTAAAGATTATTCCAAACCCTGTCCTTTAAAAAAAAGGGAAGGGATTCCACCTCCACTTGCGGTTCCATTTACGCCGTGAAGATTCTTGCCAACTCTTACAGCCATGTATTTCGGGATTCCTTTTCCTAGCGTCGCATTTACTCTCGAAGTAGCCTTCCGCTCCACATTATAATTGAAGCTCAAACGGACGAACCGATACAAAGTGCTGAGAAAATTCTCATATGAAAAGATCGAAAGCGAAATGAAATTCTTAGGAGTAGCAACGCCAACAATTCAAAGCTAAGCAGTAATACAGGAGATGCTACACAATAATACAGGAGATGCTACACAATAATACAAGAGATGCTACACATAACAAGAAGCTATGAAGACTACTGGCTCCGAAAGGAATCGCACAGTCTTAGGAAAACATTAGTCACCGAACACACCAAGCAATTGCAGAGAGGGTCGTCTGCCCTTGTGCTTCGGGCTACGGAGTGCCGTTACTGCCAGGAGATCATGGCGACCGAGAATGATGGCAACAAGATGTAATAGATAAGAGACAATCGAGACCACCTCACACCAGAGCCGAGAAAGCTACATGCCAGGATCAAAGCATGATCGAAGTCGCTAGTGAGCTGCAACCAGAAGGTACCGAAGCTCCACGACTCCGCCCCCAAGTGTGTAACCACCGAGCACAAAAAGTGAGACTAGAGTTTTCAATCGGAACCCTAGCACAAGGAGGGGACCCACAACGACACCACCAAGAGGGAAGCGACACCCGCATGCATCGCCGTCGGCGGTGCCGTAGTGTCAAGTTTTCACTCAGAGCCGCACCCGTGTTACCCATGATACCAGGGTTGCCGACCCAACCAGAGAAGAGGGCCGCCGCTGCCGCCGCCGAAGCCACGATAACACACCAAGATCATCGATCACCCTTTCCGTCACTACCTTTGATTTGTACTCGGCTTAATAATTAATAAAATAGTTGTGCGTATAATAATGATACAGAGGTTGAGGTTTTAATATTCTTCTTTTAAAAAAGAAAAACCTAATAGCTAATGTTGTTATTTTTAGGTTTTCACCTTTCATCTGAAAAAGATTTTTGGTGAGCAGTATTGGAAGGACTTACTTTGTAATTGCCACCTAGATAATATATGTTCCTTTGAAGCCATATTAGTCGAATTTCATCGAAGCGGGAACAAGAGCTGGACAGGTCAATCTACTTGTCGCACCTTTTATTGACTTACCACACAAATTTTGTTTTCTTTGGCAAGCCAATAAGTGAATACAAAATAAAATATTAAAATAGTATTTAGATACGTATATGATGGGCAGAATTTGATAAAATAGTAATATTTATTTACACAATCATATTAATATTGGCAGGTAAATAATGTAATGGAACATTTATACCCCTTTGCAACGCACGGGAAATTGTGATAGTGATGATAAAGGTTTAACAAATAGCATTGAGGCAGGCAAAATTAAGAGTTGATAGTGAGCACAATTATTACAGAAAAATATTAAGGCACATCCATTGTAGCCGGAGAAGTCTATCTTTGGTGGCACACGTACGACAACAAATTAAACAAGCCGGTCAGGTAGCCGCATACCAGATCGACTAGCAAGCAGCACACAAAACAGAAGCAAGGGCAAATGCAGCGCGGCATCACACAAACAAGCAAATAGGGTAAAGAAAACAAGCAAGGAAATCAATCAACGGCAGCACACGCAGAAATAGAATCAAGTAACCGGCGGCGGCGCGTTCGATTTGGCCGTGTCAGAAGCCTCCGGCGGCATCTGCAGCTTGTCGGCCAAGCTCTTGGCCCCCTTGAGCGAGAGCACGAGCCAGACGAAGGAGAGGAACTCCCCACCTTCACCCAAGCTCTTGGCGTGGAGGTAACCCCTGCACATGCTGGCCGAGTAGCAGAGCATGCCCAGCCACACCCGGTACATGAGCATCCACCGCGCCGTCGGGTCCCCTATCTCCAGCAGCTCCTTGGCGAGCTTGCATGCCTCCAGGATGTGGAAAACTTCTTGGGACGTACTACTACTAGTGTCACGGTCCAGTATGCCGGTAATGAGCTCATTGACGTCCTTCTGGCTTAGCTCGTCCTTGTTCTTGGACAAAGAGGAGGATTTCAGCTCCTCAACGGCTTCGGAGATGAGATGGTGCCTGCTGCCGGTGAGAAGCATCTCGGGGTTGAAGTTGAGCAGGTGCGCCATGTAGTTGGATATTGCCACCGTGCACTTGATATGAAGCTGTAATGCCGGGTCCCTACTCTTCCGTTCTTCTTCTTCTTGTTGTTCTATTTCCCCTCCGCCTCCTCCTCCTCCTCCTTCTTGTTCTTGTTCTTCTACTGCTTCTTCTGCTGCTGCTGCTGCTTCTGCTTCTACTCCTTCGACTTTTTCTTCTGCTTCTCCTCCTCCTTCTCCTTCTTGTTTACCACCATCATCGACCAATGCGGCACCGTCAATGCAGCGGAAGCAAAGATCGGAGGCCATGTGCCATAGGAGGACACTTCGGTCGAACGAGACGCTCAAGCTTTCTTTTATCTCCTTGCCACAGTGCCCTTGCAGCTCCTTACTGAGAGCCCAGTTGTGGGAATCCAAGATCCTGTAACTGGCAAGGTCACGGTCCTGTGCATCCACCAGATCTGCGATCACTGTCTGTGCCACCTTCTTGTACAGTTGACCAAGTTGAGGCCTGCAAGAAAGACACCCACCCTTGCAGTTGAAGCCCATGCGCCTGGCACACTTGTATATCCACCCGATGCTCTTGTCGCCCTCCCGAAGCGCCGCGTCGACGAGGTTATAGCCGGGTACCGTCTCGCACAAGGCTGGGACCTTTGTCATGGACATGAGCCGGTACAGCAGCTGCCGGATGAACACCGCCAGGACATCCAGCGCCGCGGTGAGGCACAGGATGATGTAGGTTATCTTCACGTCGGCGCGCCGATACGGGCGCTTCTCGCTCGCCGCAAATAGCGCCAGGGCGGCCATGTGCAGGACAGGAACCACCAACAGATGATAGAGCAGGTAGAGAGGAGTGACAACCACGGTAGCTCTGGTGTAGATGAAGGCGAATGCACTGCGCAGCCAGCGCGGCAAGGCCTTCTCGGCGACGGGTAGAGGCGGCAGAACATCTTCCACCTTGCCAGCTTTGTTTCGTGACACCAGGTCCTTGGCAGCAGCTAGCAGTGACATGTCTGAAAGTACCATCAAGACTTTGTCTGCCTCCGTCAGGGCCACCACCGGTGGTTTTTGCTCCTTCTTCCCGCCGGCTCCTTCTTCCCCGCCGCCAACACTGCTTTGTGTGGGCATCCCGGTGAAGCAATTGCTCTCCTCGAACAAGAAGAACTTGTTGACGCGCTTCCTCCACTTGGAAGGCTTCTTGGTCCCTTGCACCCAGGCCGACACAGCCGCTAGCCTCTTGATCTTGGCCCTGTTGAGGGCCAACGGCTTCTCGCTGAAGCTGAGGACGCCGACGACGAAGAGAAGGACCGCCGCCGCCAGTAGCTTCCAGTCACTGGAGCTGCGCCATGACTTGCAGAAGGCGTAGAGGGCGACCGCGACCTGGGACACCAAGGTCACCGTGTGCCTCGTCCACAGCTCGTTGTCCTCGATCTCGTAACCGGTCATCTCCTGCTGGCCCCCGAGGTGGATGAGGAGGACAGGAGCCCAGAGGACCTCCAGGACGCTCGACTGCTCGACGCCGCCGCAGTTGCTGCCCCTTGCGTGGCGGTTGAAGAGGGTGGCGAGCGCGTAGATGGCCAGCGCGTCGCTGGAGATGTAGGCCAGCCAGATGCACGTCCTGCAGACGCGCGGGATGGTGTACTTGCGCATGGGCGCTGCCAGCAAGAGGAACCACTGCAGGCCCAGGCTGCCCAGCACCAGGATGCGCAGCTGCCAATCGTCCCACCATCGCACAACGCTCCAGATATCAGACATATCTCTCTCTCTCTC